TAATATGCATTGCTAAGAACTTCATTTGGACAACTTTAAAGATGATTTTCTCAATATTTAGATTTTTTTGCACCCTCAGATTCCAGATTTTCAAATATTGTCCTATCCTAACAAACCATACATCAATGGAGAGCTCATTTATTCAGCTTTCAGATGATGCATACGTCTCAATTTCGAAAAATGTACCCTTATGGCTGGTTTTGTGCTCCAGGGTCACAAATGATCTCATGAATAATTGCAACCACAGCTAAAACACAATAATGCATTAAAACACACAACCAATCTCAGATTTAACAAGAAATGTGCAAATATTATAATGCATTTTAACTTTGCTTACAATTATTAATGAAGATAAATAGATTACAATGTACATTATGAGCATCTTTGTAATGCATTAAAGTATCAGATTAATGTTGCAAAAAGGCCAAACTGTGGATTAATAAAGAAATGTTTCATTCTGGAGAAATAAATGTTCATTTAAAAATATTTTTTTATTTAATGACGTCTTCTCAAAATTGTGTTTAAATTCGTGGCGTTACAGGAAAACAATTCTCAATGTGCTCTTTATATCACACACACGTTCCAACACTTCACACTGCACATTTAAGCAGAAAATAAGCAAAATTAACATCAGTTTTATTGTTTAGGAAATCCAAGATCCCACTAAAAACCCGTTTATAACATAACTCGTGGAAACGGACTCATCCACCAGCCAGGAATCCCGCTCGAGGCTCAGTGACGTCTCCAAACGTTCCTTCACACATCGAGAGCAGAACATGATCAAAAAACACTCTGAACCCCAGCATTTACACTCGAGAAGTAACTGATCAATCACAACCTAAAGAGTAGTGTGTCCTCTCGTTCACTACATATAAAACATGTCTATCATAGCATGTGTCTGCTAGCCCATGAAAGCATCATGGAATGTCTGAGGGATTAAATTACTCTATTTCAACATTTCTATTTCAAGCTACAGATCATTAAGAAAATGCACTTCAGCTGCATCCGGTTTCATTTTGAGACAGTTTTGAGTCACTTTCATCGAATCATTATTTATGAGGGAAACGATTGAGGACGGTTGAATTTTCTGACGCGCTCCGTTTGCACAATATTCATTATGACCGTGTAATGTCAGATATTCAGACACAATGAATAAAATCTCGAATAAAATGCTTCAAATCCATCCAGACCAGAAGACTTTGATTCCAGACCTTCTGAAGTTCTGGAGAAGTTGATCAGGCAGCGGACGAGACGCAGATAAAAGCCAGGTGAAGACTGATCCAGAGGAACCATCAGAATCAATAACCTCTCAACATCAATATTCTGCAGAACAGTACAGATTCAGATCAAATATAAAGCGGTGTTAAGCAACAGCACGTCTCTGAAAAGCCAGACTGTGAAAGATGTGAATCTGGAGAAACTGGACAAGAGACTGAGCCCAGAAACACCAGACGAGGTTTATTTGATCGGTGTTGATCTTTCTATGAGAAAACATTCTAACCTTTTCTGAAAACTTTACAACATCATTTGCTTTTTCCCACTCTTTGAGATCTAAGACAGAACGCATGCATGCAGAAGGATATTTCCGTTTCTATTGATTGTTGAGTCAGGTTTTATTGTCAGAAGCACTGTGGGTAAACAGAAAACCAGTCCAGTCTTCTCTGAAGATCATCTCTGCGGTCGATGTGTAAGAGCACGTGTGGAACCGTAATTAAAGTCTTGCATTTAAACCCGACGGAGCGATCTGAACACAAGCAGAGAAATGACAGATTACAGGCTAAATGATCTTCATTTCACTCCAAAGCCTCATTAAAACACGTAACACTGATGAATAATTGAACTGATTTAAGAGTGTGACGGTCCGTTTCTCCTCAGCAGGAATCAAGTTCAACAGCAGCGAAACCCGGCAGGGAACGGCAACCCAGATCCAAACGGGTCAAAGTCAATCATCTGTGGAGCGGGAGTCTGGAGAGGGTTCTGCTGTCAGCCGTGAGAGGAGAATATGGGCCGGCTGATGTTACTGTTAGTGGTCATAGCGTTCAGCTCCCACCTGAAGAACAGAGAAACACACGGCTTTATCAGAACAACAGATCACTGAGAAAACACAGCAGGAGCAGTCCTGTTAAACAGATACACACACACACTCACTCACTCACACACACTCACTCACTCACACACACACACACACACACTCATGCACTCTCAC